GTGACGACGAACGATTCCCGATGCTGCAGTGATTCGAAACGAGTCGATGGGTTGGGAGGCGTCGAGCGCGCCCCATTCGAGCCTCTGAGAACCGCCCGCCTGTTCCCCGACGCCATCGCCTGGACGTCCCGTTTTCACCGGCGCGTCGTCCGTCAGGATGCGGCCCATGCAGCCACAGAGATCGTTGCGCATCTCCGCGTATTCGCTGAGCGGCGCGGGTGCAAAGCCTGTCATAAACACATCACGCAGCCCCGGACATCCAGCGCCCCGGGCCGGGGGTCACCAACGGTTCGCCGCCCTCGTCCGATGGACGTGCGCTCGTCCGACGGCCGCGCGCTCGTCCGACGGCCGAGTCCTCGTCCGAGGGCGCCGATCCTCCGTCCGAGGGTCCGAGGGCGTCGGACGAGGGGGCGGCGCCCTCGTCCCGAGGGCGCCGAGGGCGCCGAGGGCGCCACCGACCCCCCTCAAGTGCGGCAGCGCCCTCCTTGGGCCGGTGTTTGCCTCAACCAACAATGGTGCCGCTGATCGACGCCACACGATCGATCGAGATCGTGACGCTGCGCGCGCTTTTGGCATCGCGATCATGTCGCTCGTCGTCACCGTGGACCTCGTCGTCGTCGCGCAGTACGCGTGCACGCTGCTCCTCGCCTACTACTGCGTCCAGTTCGGCGGCATCTTCTTCGAGTGGCCCGTGGCCCGCGCCGCGGTCGACCCGGCGCTCGCCGAGGCGCCGAGCGGCGGCAAGACCTTCGACCTCAAGGCCCACGAGAGCGCGGGCGCCTACGGCAAGCTCGACACGAGCGTCGTGAAATGCTGGGACCCCTGCACGCTCGCGGACCTCGGGTCCGTGCCAGCGACGGCGCCCGCGGACGTCGTCGCCGCCGTCGCGCGGTGTCGCGCCGCGCAGGCGACGTGGGCGAATTCGACCTTCGCCCAGCGCCGCACCCTCATGAAGATCATGCTCCGCTTCGTCGTCGAGAACCAGGCGACCATCGCCCGGGTCGCGGTCTGCGTGGACATCAACCGCCGGTTTGGTCGTCCCCACCAAACTTCGGAACTCTCTAGCTCGGTCACATCGAAGTCGATCTGGCTGATTTTTGGACGAATCGATTGCTCTCGTTGCGTTCTCGAAGCACGGCGGGAGCGCTCGCGTCGAAACCGTCGCATACGCTCGCATTGAAGTCGGGTCGAAGATTCGAGTTCCGCGCAGGTCGCGGTGCGCGACTCGGGCAAGACGCTCACGGACGCGATCTTCGGCGAGGTGCTCGTGACGTGCGAGAAGCTCAAGTGGCTCGCGCACAGCGGCGAGGCGGCGCTCGCGCCGGAGGTCCGCGAGACGGGCTCCATGGTCTGGTTCACGAAGAAGGTGCACGTCGAGTACCGGCCCTTGGGCGTCATCGGCGCGATCGTGCCCTGGAACTACCCGTTCCACAACGTCTTCAACCCCGTGAGCGCGGCGCTCATGTCGGGCAACGGCATCGTCGTCAAGGTCTCGGAGTACGCGTCGTGGTCCGCGGCGGGCTACTTCGGCGCCGCGCTCCGCGCGTGCCTCGCGGCCGCGGGCGCGCCCGAGGACCTCGTGCAGATCGTCCACGGCTACGGCGCGACGGGCGCGGCGCTCGTCGGCGGCGGCGTCGACAAGGTCATCTTCGTCGGGTCGCCGGGCGTGGGCAAGAAGGTCATGGAGCACGCGTCGAAGACGCTCACGCCCGTCGTGCTCGAGCTGGGCGGCAAGGACCCGTTCGTCGTCTGCGACGACGTCGACGACGGCGATTTGGACCGCATCGCCCAGATCGCGCTGCGGGGCGTCTTCCAGTCCATGGGCCAGAACTGCGCGGGGCCCGAGCGCTTCTTCGTCGGGGCCAAGGCCTACGCGGGCTTCACGAAGCGCATCAAGGCGGTCGCGGACGAGCTCGTCGTCGGCGCGTCGAACGACGACGCCACGGTGGACTGCGGCGCCGTGACCATGGGCTCGCTGTCGCGGGACCGGCTCCAGGCCCTCGTCGACGACGCCGTCGCCAAGGGGGCCAAAATCCTCAGCCAGGGCAAGACGCCGCCCGCGGCGCTCGAGGGCACGTCGTTCTTCCCGCCGACGGTCCTCGTCGACGTGCCCATGGCCGCGAAGATCGCCACCGAGGAGATCTTCGGCCCCATCATGTGCGTCTTCGAGGCGACGACGTCCGACGACGACGCCGTCGCCAAGGCCAACTCCTGCGGCTTCGGCCTGAGCTCGTGCGCGTTCGCGAACTCGTCCGCGCGCGCGCGGCGCGTCGCGGCGCGGCTCAAGGCCGGCATGTCGTCGGTGAACGACCTCGAGGGCACGACCTACCTGTCCCAGTCGCTGCCCTTTGGTGGCGTCGGCGAGTCGGGCTTCGACAAGTTCGCGGGGCCCGAGGGGCTCCGCGGCCTCTGCCTGACGCGGTCCGTCTGCGTCGACCGCCTCGGGCCCATGCGCACGTCCATCCCGCCGCCGATCCAGTACCCGTCCAAGGGCAAGGGCCACGTCTTCGCCATGGGCCTCGTCGAGCTCTTCTACGGCAACGGCCTCCTCGGCAAGCTCAGGGGCGTCGTCAAGCTCCTCAAGGCCCTCTAGGGGGGGGCCGCGCGTCTCCGGCGACACACCTAAGCATGGTCCGGTCGTTACCGCGCGCGGCGGCGGCGGGGGGACCGGGACCGCGACCGGCGGCGCCGGGGCGGGGACCGCGACCGGGACCGGCGGCGGTCGTCGCGGCGCCGGGGCGGCGACCGGGACCGCGAGCGGCGGTCGTCGCGGCGGCGCCGGGGCGGCGACCGCGACCGCGAGCGGCGTCGATCGTCGCGGCGGCGGCGGTCGTCGTCGCGCGGCGGCGGCGGCGGTCGCGGCGGCGGCGCGGGCGGCGGCGGCGCTGCTCGGGGCGGCGGCGCGGGT